GATTTTTCTCAAAATAAAAGTACTAGAAAAATGTATTTGGCATCTCATAAATAGTGCTTTACTTCTGTACTTACCACTTATCCGCATTTTCATTACCATACGAATCTAACCATGCATTCACATCTGGATCGGACATTGCTTCTACTATTTCATGTGCAATAATATTCAACATACCGTCAACACCGCGATCACCACTCGGTGAAACATTATAGTTGTAGGCAACGCAAGAGTAAATACAGCTTTCTGGATTTCCTATAAATCCGTAGATGTATCTTGTAGATTCAACATCAAAAAACCAATGATATCCGCAATAATTGTTACAGAAAGATTGAGTTGCTGAAGCACTTTCCTTCACATCTGGAGAAGTGAGCACTAAGTAGATACCGTTTGGATCACTTGGCAATTCTCCACTTAGAATACGATCGTAAAATATATTTGGTACACTCGTATCAGTAAGTTCATTTCCATAAGTATAGTTGTCTGTCACTGTATTTCCAAGAATGACTGAACCTGTCGTGTATATCTTCGAACTTGTTGGTGTAGCTTGATAGTAGTAGGTTTTTTCGATGTTGAACCATGATGTATTGCTCATTTGAGAAATGAATGTGTTAACAATATTTTTTTGAATGGTACTCCAATTACCATAAAACTATTCATAAAATGGTGCACCTCAACAAATAAGGACGAAATGACATGAAGAAACTCACCACAACATAGACTTTGGTATCTCCAGTTAATACACGACTACCGATGGTATACGATATACGATTGGAGGGCTTCTTTGATGCACCATTTCTCTGTCCTTCGAAGACTTCATGTACGGGAAATTTCCCACGTAGAATTGCAGGATTGTTTCGTTCCGCTGAAGTGATATGAATTATTTTAATTGCATAAATTTCTTAGCACCGAAATGTTGTTTATCTCATGAGAAACTTCTTGAACATTGTCTGGACTAGACCTCAAGTACTCATGAAATTCAACTAGTGAAAGGAGATCACAAAAGTGAATAATCAGCAGTCGTGCTCTATATGATTAAGGGAATAGAAATAAGTACACATCAAAAAAACAAACTATTGATTAATTTTTAAAGTCTCTAAGTCTCAAAAATTTCACTGATGAAAACTTCGATTTACAAATGAATTTTCTATAATAATTACTACTCAAGCAAATAAACATATGAGTTGATCAGATAACTGTATTATGCAATTGGAAAAACAAATTTTCTAAATGTAGTTATTTGCAATGATACTTCCAAAAATCTTATTAATTATTACACTATCATACGAAAGATATGAATCTCTTCCAAGGAATATTATTCTCAAAGAGAATCTATTCTATTTTTCGATTTGAATAAAACTCAGTTTTGCTCTTTTAATCGAACTAAAGAATACCTATCACAATAAGTATTTTGTTGTCATTTTAATTAGATTGATATCAGTTTTCTTACCAAGTCTGCTCCATAGCATATTGTTCAACTCGTTACTCTCGGTACAATTCAATGGCATAATGACACTTGAAATGATGATAACCTCTAATAGACAAGAAGCCCAAGCCAGTTCCATAATCACAATGTAGTCTATAATTGTTGCATTAAATGTGACGAAAAAAAATGAATTGAATAGATATGTTTCTCTTTACAACTTACTTGTAATATTGCTTTGTACTCAGAAGAATAACGAAGAAAAAATGATTGCATTAGGCAACAAACAGCAGCTTTTATATCTCACTTCTGCTCTTGTTTTCGGTATGTTTACTCGACCGTAATATAATAGTCGGAAAACAACAATATTTGTTGATTACACATCTTTTCAGGTAATAGTGAGTATGATTCATGACTTATGCAAATGCATAGGTTAAGGTGATTAGTATTAAGTATACAAAAACAAACGAATGTAAGTTATCTTTATCTACCTAAAATAAAAACATTCATATTTGCAAGAAGCCATACCCGAATAGTCATAGACATAATTATTATGTGTTATTCTTTGGACTTTTAGCAATGCATTAAGTATGAAGACTATAGATGTTTCTATAATATCATTTATATAAATGAAGAAATTGAATAAACAAAACTTAAAGTCAAAATCAAAACAGTGGATTCTGAATTAAGTTTACTTTATTTTACCAAATTTCGATCAATTGAAGTGTTATTTTACATTAAGAACAAAAACAAAACATAATCGAAACAATATATTGATCATCAGACCACTTTGGAGTATGTTAAAATAAAATATTTATTATAGGTGGACACCAAGACGCATACGCATATTTGATGATGATTCTAATCTCATCAACATCTCGTAAAATGAAAAACATTTAGTTTAAAATAAACTATTTTCATTTTTATTAATTTTCTTTTTGAATGTATCCATATATATAATTTCTTTTTTTTTAAATTCGAAATAATTGTGGAACAACCTATATGTATGATATGAATTATTTCTATTTATGGTTATTTCTTGAAAGTGATTGTTTAAGTGATCAAAATCTCGTGAAATGAATGACATTTGATTTGAAATGGATTATGTTCATTTTTATTAAGTTTTTTTTTTTTAATGTGTTTGATTATTCAAATTGTTTTACTTATAAATTCTATATAGTGGTCGGCAATCTATATATCGATTTTGGATTGGCTCTTATTATTGTTACTTTTTGAAAATAATCTTTTATATGATTGAAACGTGATGAAATTTCATATAAAATGTACTATTTGGATTTTTCATTTTGACTTTCTTCATTACTATAAATTATGCTATAGAAGATTCTATACCCTACATATTTTATTACTTTTGTCAAAGAGTACAAAGATCGATACATGTTGATAATACGCCCTGGATGATTCGGTAGTCTCTGTTTCAAATTTGACCAATTGTGTCGTATTGTTTGCATGAAAAGAAAATGCATTCTTTCATTCTGTGTATTTTGTATCGATTACCTCTAGTTATTCCGTTCCACCTATCATGAATCTGTGTGGAGGTTATGTTGATCGAGAAATAATAAATGAGTCTGGCGATTTTACCTCTCATCGTTATTGTGTAAGCTGGCTAGTTACCTAATACTAGGAAAAATAGCTATATTCATTCATTATTTCTCTATCCACATAGTCGCCACACTGATTCATCATAAATACTATGGGATAACTAAAAGTAATCGATACAAAATACATAAAACGAAAGAATACATTTGTTCTTCATGCAAACAATACGTCACGGTTGATCAAATTTGAACAAGAGACTACCGAATCATCCAGGATGTACAATTAACGTGTATTGATTTTTGGACACTTTGACAAAAGTAATAAATTCCGAGCGGTATATAGGATGCCCAGTAAGTCATGACATAGACATTCTAAAAGTTGAATATCTCTATTATAGTTCAACCAAACGGGCTCATTTTTTTTTTACCAAGGATGGAGGCATGTTCACACTCCGAATTCATACGGATAAGATCAGTGAGGACGTTTGTTAAATACCATTATTGACCTCAACAAGAAAATTTTACTTGTTCACAGGTAGAAAAAAAAAACAATATATAGAATGGTGCAAAAGTCACTTTATTAGGAAAGAAAATTGACTATCTCCATTACGGCTCGAGCAAACGAGTTGATTTTCTTACCAAAGATAGAGGCATGTTCACACTTCAAATCCGTATAGGCAAGATTAATGAGAACCTATGGTGAGCATATTGTTTTCTTTTCCTATCTGTGAACAAGCAAAATTTTTTTGTTGAGGTCAATAGTGGTATTTAACAAAAGTTCTCACTGACCTTGTCTATGTAAATTTGAAGTGTCAACATGCCACTTTCCTTGGTAAAAAAATGAGCCCGTTTGGTCGAGCTATGATGAAGATATTCAATTTTTAGTGTGTCTGTTTCATGACTTACTGGGCATCCTAAAGAATCTTCTATAAGATAATTTATAGTAATGAAAAAATAAAAGTCAAAAATCAAAATCCAAATAGTACATTTTACATGAAATTTTATCACGTTTCAATCATATAAAAGATTATTTTCAAAAAGTGACTCCAATAACAGCCAATCCAAAAACGATATAGATTATTGGAATTGAATAAAGATGTGTGTTCTGCTAGATGAGTTTGACCTTTCTGCAATAAATTAATATTCTTATGATAATATTTGACTAGTGTCTGGACGTTTGGAAATACGCAGCAATCAAATGGGTTTTACTACAACGTGGTTGCTGGTGGATATAAATATCTGATTCAACAAAATTGGGACGCGAATCTTCAGACATGTGCACTATCTGCTTGAATTATTTCTTCTTATTTATCCAGACAAAAATGACTGATTTTTTTTCAAACTAACCTGTGCGCTCGAAATGCTAATCTGCTTGATTTGAAAACAATAAATAATATGAATCGTATAGCTTTTAATTTTTCTTTCTTTTATATATATTATACAATGATTTATGTATACTCGCGAAAGCATATATATGTATATGACCAAAATACACTCAAAAAAAAAATGTTGCTTTAGAGCTTGATAGAAAGTAAAAAATAATTCATTATTCAGTTTGTAAATATTTATATTTTAATTTTCTATTTTTTTACTAGAACAGATTTTCTTAATTATTCATCGAACAACTAAAAAAATTTATTGTATGATCATTAGAAACAAAAGACTTTATTCATATTTCGCCTGCGAGTAGATGCATTGATGTGACTCAAAAAACCAAAATTTAATAGAGATAGCTTGCGCAAAACTATTCCCGATGTTGAAAGCTCGTTGTTTTTTTGCTACAATCAAACAATGAAATACAATCGAATAACTTTATTATTAATGAAAAATCAAATTTGAATTCAAACGATTTAAAGACTCATTATTAATCATAGATATATATCAAGTTCAGCAAAAGTTTAATCTAAATTTTAAATATTAACAAAAAAAGAAACATTTTGATTGATCAATGAAAGAAGAAAGCGCTTTATTTATTTATCGAAATATGCATAAAATCCGAGGTGAAAAATAATTGTCTATAAATAATGTTTCGAAATGTTACTAGTGCACAAGAAGCTATTGTTCATAGACAATCAGAAAATAGTTTATTAAATGAAAAAAATCAAAAAAAATTAATTAAAGATGTTCAATCAGATGATATATCTCAAACATATTCAACATTAAAAATTAAATGGTTTCATCAACGTGAACAACTAATAGAAAATTTAAAACATCTTGAAAAACATAATGGATTTCCACATGAAATTCAATATGTTAAAAATCTTATTGAATGTCTTAATGAACTTATAGAAAATGGTGAAATGACAAAAAATTGTCAAACATTAATTAATGATATGAATAAAAATATTCATGTATTACCAGATACATATTTATTAGCTAGAAAACCATTAGGAGATAAAATGATACGATTACCAAGACATGTTTCAAAAACTACAACGAATATTTCACATCCATTAAAAAAATTATCATCAGAAATTCTTCAAATACAACGATCAAATGAAAAATTACCAAATCAGGTAATCTATTAATAATAAAAGAATTCGGAAAAATTGTAGCCAAGTACTGAATCTCTTTGGTTTTTTTGTTTCATTGTTATAGATGTTACATACACGAGAGAAAACCTATGTATTTATTTCTTTTTTTTTCATATTAAACAAAGTTTATTTCAATTTGTTCGAAGACATATTTTTTTTCCAAGTCTCAGAAATCCACTAACGAGGGATAGTCCCAAGATGATTAAAAAATTTTAAGCCTATATTTTGTTCAGTCGTAGAAGATCTATAGATTAGAACAGGCTTCAGAAAGTTCCTGATGGCATTAAGATTTGATCAATATATTGACTTTTTAGCGAATTTTCTCTGTATGGATCCAATTTTTCGATAAAATCCTGTTGTCGAGTTTTGGTCTGAAAACTTTGCCTAAATGAAGGTCTTAATGAGACTAGATTGTGTACAAAATTTCAGAAGTTTTTGATCGAGTGTCGCTGAGATATGCAACTTCAAAAATATGCATGTTTTATACGGTATCAATGAGAAACCGCTTGAAATATGAAAAAATGCATATCTCAGCGACACTCGATCAAAAACTTCTGAAATTTTGTACATAAGCTAGTCTCATTGAGATCTTCATGGGAGCCAAGTTGTCAGGCCAAAGCTGAACAATGAGGTTTTATCGAAAAACTGGGTTTATACAGAGAAAATTCACTAAAAAGTCAATATTTCGGTCAAATCTTAACATCATCACGAATCCTTTAGAGCCTGTTTTAATCTATAGGTTCCCTACGACAGAACAAAATATTGGCTCAAAAGCTTTTAATCATCTGGGAATTTTTACTTATAAGAGATAGATTACTAGTTGTAACCGATTCAATTGTGATCTTCATCGGTTGAAGGAAATGGTTTAGATATGTTATTTATCCCTAGTAAAAATATATGGAGAGCAGATTTAAATGTTTTTATTAAATAAATTAAACAGTGTTGTTTGAAAAAATTATCAATTCTATCTTTTTTTGTTATGTTCTTATAAATTCTTGCATTGAGATATTTTGCTTGATAAAAAATCACAATAAAAACTGTTGTATTTGAGCTACACTTCTCAGTTTATTTCATTCATGTTTTGTTAGAGGCGAGATTTAAGTTTGAATCATCAATTAGATTTTCTCTATAAAAGCCAACTGAAAAAAAAATGAAGATTTGGAGTTTAACAATAAATAATCTTTTTTTTCACACCAGCGAAACATCACGTTTATATCGAAAACTCTCGATTAATTACAACTTTGAGTTACACTCAATCGTTGGCATTGTACATTCTCGTAGTCCAAACATGATATTGTCATATTGTCGCATTCGCTTTGTATTTGCATGCAAAAACAAGTTTTTTTCTCATGGGATGGATCTATAACAATAGAACAAGAAAATTGATCTAATCACTGAGTGAATAATTGATATATTTCCAAACTTTGAAATTAATATTCACATTGTTATGTGAGTTGTATGTCTCTAACATGTCGACTAGAGATGCACAGAGGAAGTTTTTTCGGTATTCTTACTAGAAAAAATTTTCTAATCCTTACTCTACCCTACCTTGCAAGGTATGGTAGAACAATCCTACGCATTTCTAAAGTAAATTATCACTGATAATATTCAAGTGATCTTAAACAAAAAACTTCATGAACATAAATTCGTTTTGTAAATTCATAAGCTAAAGTCAGATAATAAAACATAAAATTTTTCCAAAATATTAATCGAACCGAACTTAAAATTGAAGCATTCGAGTAATTGAATACTCTACAGAAAATATAACAATTAGAAATCTTTCTTTTGATTAATCATTTGAATCTCTTACTTGTCTAAAGTTATGTGAAAACACATTCTCTCATTTCATTGAAATGTTCGACAATGAAATTTTTATAAATCAATATTTAGTTTTTATCTTAATCAAATAAAATTAACAATTTGATTTATTCTTAGATTGATCTTCATATAAATCCAAAAGAGAAACAAATAGATCAAACATTTGATAATGATGATATGACAACATCTAATATATCTACTGAAAAAATGACAAGTGGTATTCAATTTTATGTTGTTGCTGAACAATTTCGTAATACAACAGATACAAATACTAGAAAAAAACGTTATTTAACATCATCCATAATAGAGTGACATCTAGAATTTCTTAAATTAAAAATAAATAAATCAAAAGTTTTATTATCTAAAATAAATAATCAGTCAAAAAATAATAATAATTTCTTCATCATTGTTCTGTTTTCTAATACAGCACTATGAGATATGCTATAATTTAACATCATATGTTGCGTTTAATTTAATCCGATGATTGTTCGTTTAATGGAAATTATAAAACAGTATCAATAATGTTACATGAAACTATGTCATATTCATCTGAACAAATCATACATGATAAAAAATCATCAATGAATGGTCGATTAACTCCAATTGGTGGTGCTTCATTGGATACAGAATATGACAAAAAGTCTTTAGCATTTTTTCAAATTTTCAATTTTTTATTTTCTAAAAATATTTTTAAAAATATTTCTATAGTGATAACAAAGAATTCAATGAAAATATTGCTTTACTTAATGAACACGAAACATTAAATGCTGCACTTGCAGCATTAACTTCTCATTTTGCTCGTGTACAATTACGTTTACAACAAGTCGTATCAGCACCAACACCTGAAGATCGTGAAGTAAAATATATAATAAGATTTTTATTTTCATTATATATTCTTTTTTACTATAGAATTTATTTACAGAATTACATAAATTTGCTTCAACTAGTATACCTGATGTAATGTGTCAATCATCAATATTTACAAATAATGTTACACATGAACAATTAATCGAAACAGAAAAATGTCGTGAAAAAGAATTTATTAATGAATTAAAACGAAAATTAGATGAATTAGAACATTATGCATTTGAATCTGGTTCACTTGAATGTGTACCAACATTAGTTATAATGGAAAAACAACGTATACTTATTGATGAATTACGTCAAAAACTTGATTTACAATTAGATGATGATATAGTTTCAAAATTATCGTTCGTATTATAAATCAAAATTTCTTTTTGTTTTTGTTTATTTTTCTTTTGTTTATATTTAGTGCTGAAGAATTAAGAAAACTTGTTGATCAAAGTGTTTATCAGGTAAGAATATATCCAATAGAAAGAAATTCGATATTTATCATTTGATCATTTTATATGACAAGAGAAGAATCTTCTGAAAAGTTTCAATTATAATTTATAGCATATCGAAGAAGTGCAACATATTTGAATATGTTTAAGTTGAATGATTATGTAGCGAGTAGGGATTAGCAAGATGACCTTGGTAGCATTTTTTTGTTTAATTAAGAATTACATTATATTTTTCACATGTGTTATTCTATTGTGAGTAAAGGTTTGGAAATTGGCCATTCTTATTTAAGAATCTGATAAAAGTTGTTTTTTTTTCACTGATCTCGATTTTGTTTTCAAGATTCGAAGTTCTTCGATAATTGCTATAGACTTTTGAATATGTGAAACATAATTGTACAAAACGTTTATTCGATTGTAGTTTAATTCGTACCCATTTCATTCAAACCACCGATTAGCCGCAGTTCTTCTGCTTAAATTTTTTTGCGTAACAATGCATAAATACTTTTAAACTCTTAGAGAAATGTTTGATTTCAATCGAAATCATGTTTCCTTATTATGGAGTGTGCACTCAAGCAGCCTGTACCTGGCACATCAGCTGCGGTTGTTTAGTTTTGGAGTTTGACTATTCGTTAAAGATGGTGCCACAAAAATAGTCAGTAGCTAGAAGATTTAACCAATAGAAAAACCTGTGACACCATCTGACACGATATACGATGGCATATTATGAACCGTCGGGTTTGATGAAAAAATTGAGGACGTGAATAGTTTTATTATTAAACTTGTTGATATGCGACAAAAAAAAGTTTTGACACTTGTTAAAAATTAAAAAATACATATATATCTTGTCGAAAAATATCAGTCCAAATCCAGTAAATCCTAAAGTTCGATATATTCAAAATGATTCCTGGAGTAACATCAATTCATCTAGATTTTTTATGCATTCAAAAACTAAGAATTCTGAGAGAATTTTTTTGGGTCACATGACCGAAATCTGAAAAAAATTCTAACTATAACAAAAAAATGTCTTGTTTTCTCTATCTCTAATTCTGCTACATGTATATGAAGAAAAATTCATATTGCGTAGTAAAGTGTCAAAGTCATTCATGCATGTTAACACCAAATATAGCACATGTGTCACACTTTGCAACGCACTGTATGACGCGTGAAATGTTCGTTGCGACATATTTTAGAAATATGGTTCCAGTCTACCATTCAGCAAGCCTATCATTTTTTCTGCATAATTGAACAATTACTACTTTTTTCAGTTTCATTGAAATTAATAACAACTATTCTTGGAGTCCAAGATGGCGAGATCTAGGCTATCCAAGTAGATTTTCAATTTCTCAACGTGTTCTCTAGTAATGACTAATCAAAAAAAGATCTTGAATAAAAGATATAGGAAAACGCGTAAGTTCAGTATGTTTAACCAAGTCGATTATATATGTAGATACCTACGCAAAACAAAATGATGAATGAATGATTAGTCAGTAGACTATGACACATTTTCTTGTTCGAATTTGCAACATATTTTATTTTACTGTATGTAGATCTTATATATATTGGAAGAATTATAAAGATTAATAAACAAAAAATTTGCTTATTTTTAAAAACAAGATCAGTGCAAAATTGTAATCGACATCAGAATCCGCAAAAACTTTTAATTAGGACCAAGATTCGAAGGCAATTTGTATTCATATTTTAGTATGAAAGTAAAGTCTATGACTTCACTGGGAAGGAGATCCGATGTTTTGGTCATAAATATATATCTCTTTACTAAAATACTATGTGAATGCGCAGCATTGAAAGGTCATGAATCAAACTCTGTTAAGCTTTCCGCATTGTCATAGCAGTCTAAGAATAGGTAATAGATTAAATCAAATATCATGCAACAGCTGAAACATACTTTCCATTCATCAACATTCTCTTAATTGAACCAGAAGAGAGAGAATTTCCTTACGGAAGTAACAAATGATTTATAATAAATGACCGCACTACACCTACAGAGCGCATCAAGCCGACTGATATTTCTGGGTTTTTTTTAAAAATCCACTACCTTCTATAATCTTATTATAATGTACCATTCTAGTTTCAGTTATACACTTAATTTATCTTCATGAAGATAGTTTAATGATAAGTTCTTAGACAATATGATGAATTCAAACAAAAAAAACAAGTCATCAGAAATACTTCTTATACAAAAACTACTAGATTTATGAGTGTAGGTGTATATGTGAGCAGGGGCGTAGCCAGGAATTTTCTGGGGGGCTGAACACGGCCAAAAAAACATCTTCGCTGAACGGAAATAATGTGTTCGTATCCTCCTCCGGGGAATTTTTCTTCTGAGGGGAGGGGCTAAAGCCCCCTCCGCCACTCCCTTCCCTACGCCCCTGTATGTGAGTGTGGCTAACTATGTGTGAAGAGATGACACACATTCATGTCCTCACAAAATCATGAGCTTTTGCCGCTATCTGATATTTCAAGGTATATTAGGAAAAAGAATATCACATCATACACAGATCAATAACTTTGACCTGGTCTGGTGGTTTGCCAGGCTAACAATTCTGCTTGGCATGATGCGAAGAAAATTCTATACATTTTGTAGACAATCACAGATGGTCACCAAATAGTTCTGATCTCAATATTCGGGATTATTACGTGTGGGATGTTATTTCCAATAATATACAATTAGATAACACTATGATCCATGTACTGATGAGATCCGAAAAAACGAAAATTCATCATGTATCAATAAATGATATCGTTCGCACCATCGAAAATTGATCGCACAGAATTTGGCTTATTTTGAAAACAATAGATACATAATTGAAATAAGCTTGACTTTCTAGATTGTAGAACTTTTCACATTGCACCTTATGGCACATTCTAATTTTTATTTTTGATAAAACGTATTTAGAGTTTAAAATATTGAAATACAAAGTGCAATCATTTATTGTAGGTCATCCATTAGTCTTTTATTAACGTATTCTTCGAAATAGGTCACTTAACTAATACTCTTCTTTATTCAATGAATGTATGCATCGGATATCTTTTCAGTGAATCTGTACAATGAGATAAACTTATATATTACTTTACGTTAGTGCCTTATCTTGTATATGAATAATTTAATAGTATATTGGTATCTACCAGTGTAATACACTTCTCATTATTGATTTTGTTGTATATTATTGTGAAAATCATTTATTCAAAATAAAAGTTTATTTTTTCTAGTTAACTAATCCAGTAAAATTAAAAGAAAAATTAATAAATCAAATGCGTACAGAAATAGGTGATCTGGAAAAATTTATTGAATTTCTCAAAAGTAATATTAATTTTTATCTAAATCTTCTTTAATAAACCTTAATTTTAGCTGATTCTGCTAAGACGACAATAGATACTACAATTCTATCTGTTCCTTCATCAACTTCAACAAGTATTGGATTATCTTCTACAATTGAATCAAATCCCGTACGTCAAAATTGTCGAATATTTCTTTATTATTATTTATCTCTTTTTTTTTTTCAAAGACAACAATAACAGCAAGTCAATCATCAAAAATGACTCAATCAACAAATATATTTTCATCTTGTTTTCAATTTGAATATAATTCATTAAATATATTTCGATCAATAAAAAAATTTTTTATTTTAACTCAACTTTATACATTCGGTTTCTTAACATGTGGAATGAGATCAATGCAAAGAACATCTCATCAATCAACTAGAATTATAAGTAAAGATTCTATTTTAAAGAAACATTTTGGGTAAATCAATATAAAGAAAAATTTTATTTATTAATTTTATTTTCTTTTTTATTTTAAAGTAATCTTCGAGCTGAACTTGAAATTGCAATTGAAAAAGTTCTTTATAAAGTACGATTAAATAAAACATTATCAAAATATTTAAGTGATGATGATGATGATGATAACATAAATACAACAATTGGTACTAATAAATATATAGTAAAAATAAAAAAAAAGCTTTTCTTTTATGTTTATTTTTATAGTTTGATGATATTTAGGAATATCATAATTCAGATACGATTATCTTATCTATACGACAAGATCTTGCACCTACACTTTGTGCATTACTTGAACATGGTCTTTATGAAGTATAATAAAAAGAAAAAAAGATACTGAAATTTTCGATTAATCTATTATTAAATATAGGCAGACTCTTCAATGAATTTATCTTCTTGGACATGTTTTCCACTTACATCTGTCAATAAATACTCGGCACCAAAGGAGACAATGCATATTTGGAAATTATTTTTAAAATATTATGATATGAAAGTAAAAGAAACTGCAATTATTTAAGTAAAATTTGTTTTTTTTTTAATTTCTTTGAAGGACGGATATGAATTTGCAAATAATCCAGCTCGTAAACTTTCACAATCATTTTCATTAGATATTATTGGTGGAAAACCGATTACACTTACAGAAGTATTATTTGATTTAATATTAAAAAAAAAACAACAAATAATATTAATTAATATTGATTATTTTTTAGTACCTATTAAATGGTATTGATGCAGTTGTTAAATTACATAAAAAACATACTAAACAACAAATGAATTGTTGTTTTAAATCATTTATATGTTATGCATTAAAGTATGTTTTTATGTTTTTTTTAAAAAGAAACCGAAAAATTATAGAAAAAATGAATGATATAAAACTTATTTCCATTGGAAAATAGTAGGAACTTGAAAATAGGAATATGATCACGGATTTTACTCGTTTTCGATCGAAATCAAATATAACCGGTCGTCAAATACAAGAATCACATTTCAGTTTCCATGATTCTGCTATTTTTCAGTAGAAATCAATAGGTTTTCGATCGAAAAATTCCTGTTTATGTCATACTTATAAGTAATATAGAGTTAACAAGGAAACTACTTGAACTGTTATACATCGCTTGAGCTCATATTAGGCTCACAAAGGTATCTTGATGAGACTAGCAGAACTATAAGAATTTGTTCCCGTGGGTCTTTAGAACCAAGTTAGTGTCGTTTTACTAAACTTTCGATCTAGTTTTAGGTGTATATATTGAAAAATCAAAAACTATTAGTATTTCGTCGTAATATTTTGCGTATAAATAGATAGAATGACATTAAGAATATTCTGAAAGTGTCAACCAAAAAGAATGTTTCTTTGCCGAGATATTGAAACTCCAAGGAACAGTCATCTGCCGTAGACATATCACAAAAATCGAGTTTTCGCGAAAATTCAATATCTCAACAAAGGAACATTTCTCTCGACTGAAACTTTCAGGATATTCTATATATCATTCGATGTATATATATATGTAAAACTGGATCGAAAATTCAATAAAACGATCTCTTTTAGATTTTTGCTAGTCTAATCAAAACGTTTTTCTTATGGGGCATAATTTGAGCTCAAACGGCAGGTATTAATTTAGATGGTTCCCTCCGTGAACATTTGAGAAGTAACATTTCTTATTGCAATTAAAATTTTATGAAAGATTTCTTAGTGAGTCATGTGTTTAAGTCGATGTTCTTTTATGAAACACAATCTAAAAACAGTATTGTGTATAGAAATAGAAATGAAGACGCCCACCATCAACAGACGTAATAAACATGTTGCTAATGCATATTTTCCTTCATCACGAACCATGGACAGATGTCTTTCCTCTATTACGGGCACTTAAATATTGTTACTCGCTTCTCATGTATTATGATAGATATACTTGCGAGATTGAATCAGTATGACAGATAGTTTAGTTTAAGATAATTGTCTTTGTCTTTTTTCCGATATGATTATAATCTATTGCGATTATCAACATACATTAACAGTAAGTGGAAATTGACAAAACAAAGTATATGTTTATAAATTTATTCTATCATAATGTCAATAATTTTTGTTAAATAAAAAATGTTTTTTTTTTTCGTGTGTTAGCTATGTGCAAATTTTCATCTAACTAATAGTTATAAATTAAATACAATCAAGTATAATGAAGTTTAAATAAACTTTTATTCTTTTGTAAAAATATATTATTTTCTATGAAAATCTAATCGAAATATATTAATAGAATTGATTTGTAATATGTAGATTGATAAATTTCAAAAGGATAAATAAATCATACAAAAAAAATCTTCGATATTAATAGTAATAGAATTTTATTTTAGTGAAAAAAAACTTGTTTCATTTCTACGTTTGATTCTTCGAACAGGAATATTAGTAGAAAATTATTATCAAACATGGAGTTATACAAGACAAACAGGTATGTATATAATTATTTCTATTGATCTTGATAGTTATTTTTAATAAATAAAATATTTTATTATGTAAAGGTTTTAATGATGCTCTTCATTCACTTGATCGTTTAACTTCCATTGATTTTGATCTTCCAATAAATACATCTATTCGACGTTTTATGAATAATCGAGATTTGATTGAATAATCAATGGATTTGATTTGTGCTATATCTAGTCATTTATTATTTATATGTTCTTCCATTGATAATAGATATTAGACAGGAAATTAAACAAAACAAAGCGACTATTGTGTGAATTTTTTCTTCTTATTTATTGTGGAAATAGCAAAAAGAAAATAATTCATATTGTTCTTTTCACGTTTATTTCGTTATTAAACAATCGAATAGTGATAATAACATTTGTATTTTTAATATATTTTTATGGTTCTTATCTCAATTTCATTAATTTGTTTCTGTGTTATTTATTTTATTTAACATTTATATTTTTTTTTTAATATTAATTTTATTTATAAAGAAAATTTCAAGTATATTAAAAAAAAAAAAAGAAATTTAATTAATTAAACATATAATGCATTGATTATTTTTCTTTAGATAATAAAAATTGAATGATATTGATTAACTTTAGATTAACATAAGTTTATTTTTTTCGGTAAAATTCATAAGAAAAAAATTTTCTAATTAACACATATCGTTTTGAATTTATAATTTTTTTGTTTTCTTTGAAGTATATGTTGATGTGTTCTAAAGCATTGCCTGATGTCTTCTATTTATAAAATCATTCGATTGACTATTTTATTTTTTATTATAGGAATTTTTATTTTGTTTAACAAAAAAGATTCGATAAACTTGAGATCGTTATTTTAATCAGTATAGATATTGAGCTGCTGACAAGAGGGAAAAAAGCGTCACTTCAATACTTTCAAGTATTGACGTCGTACTTTTTTCCCTGTTGGATTCCGAACATACTTTTTTTTATCGATCTCGAAGTTTATATGAATAATAAGGCAATATGCCGCGTCAGATTTTAGTGTAAGCAGGGGTTAGAACTTGAACGTTCTCTTAGTCTCGTAGACAGTCATTTATAAATAAAAATGAAGTCATAAGACGTCCGACAGTTGGGAATGTGTTCTCATGAGAGTGATACTTATTATGTCACATTAATTGAACATTTTTTTCTTTGATGAATTCTATTTCGGAAGAATGTAGGATCGCTTATCGATTCAACATATTCTTTTTCAGATTAACATTTTCTAAAAAATGTTCACTAGTTAGTAATAATAATTTGATTGTCTTCATCATCTTTGAACAATAGTTTGTATGTTTATCATATGCTTCTTCAGATAAAATTACCTTGAGTGTATCTATAATTTGGTTGAAAGGATAATGACATAGATCATTGATTCTTCTTCAAAGGATGTTTCATAGTGACACGGAAGTAAGACTAACAATTGAATAGGTTTTATATTCTATATTACAATCAAACATGCTCTAAAAAAGAATGAATACCTAATGTTATTATCCTTTCAACTAAATTATAGATGTACTCATTTCAACATTGTCTGATGAAGTTATTTTTTAACAACGAAATATTTATATACATTATAAAAATTTAATTATTTTATAATGAATTTATCACAAAGAAACTTAAAACATGACAAATAAGTTATTCTCCATAGGCAAGAATATTTTTTATGTCAATTATTTTATCTTTTTTTTTTTTTATCTTTTATGAATTAATTTAATAATTTTGAATGCACCGAAGTGTTCGTGTGTAATAATATCCATGATTAAAAAAAAAGAAAAAGAAAAACAAAAATCTAATTGATTTTATTTTAGATTTTACATAAATGGATAATGAATTTATTCCTGGTAGTGATCCAGAAGAAGTTAGTATAAAAAGAATAATTTTTTATTTATAATTTAAATTATTATATTTACATTAGATTAAAGATTTTCTTCATAATTGTGGTTTAATACCGCTCAATGAATATTATAGTAAGTCGAAAATATTTGTTTATTTTAATTTTCTTTTTTTTATTTTAGCACAACTAAAAAAAATGTTAAAACGTCAACGACAATCACCGAAAACAATCAATGAACAAATACAAAAAAAATTAGCTGAAAATGGTATTCATAAAGATGATTTATCAAAAAATATATCAGTAACACAAAAACAAAAAAAAAAGAAATCTATTTTTCTTGAAGAATAAAAAAAAATATATATTTTATTTTAGTTATTATGTCCACGAAAACGAACTTCTTTTTCACCAGTTATTACACGTAAACGAGGTAAAAAAAAGCTTCGTATTTTTTTTATTTTTATACATTACAACAAGAAAAGAATTTTTTGTTTAGGAAAAGCAATTAAAAAACGAACACCTTCAGCTACACAACTATCTGATATAACAACGACAGTTATTACACCAACAACAACAGATATTATTGAAATTGTAAGAAAATTAAATTATTTATATTTTGTATTTAATTTGATTTTTCAATAGTCGATAGAAAAATTAACAAATGAAACAAATACAATTGATGATGATCAACCATTAGATTTACGTTTACGAACTCAATCGGTTAATAAATTTTGATAACAAAATTTATGGAACATATATGTCTATATTAGTCAGATAAATAATTTTCTTTAATCTATGTTTAATAAAAATGTGTGTTGTTAATACGAAGAAAAATCATTTTTTTTTCATTTTCTTAGATTTTCTATTATAAGAATAATCAACAGATAATATTATTGATTAATTCCTATTCCTTCCTTCAAAATAGTTAATTTAAAAACTTAAATTCTCTATATATTTATTTTTTTTTTCTTTTAATTTAAAGAGTATGTCATATCAACAGACTTGTCAGATTAGTATTGTACTAATCCTTACTTTCTTTCTTTGAATGACGAGGTTGACAAGTGCAGTGATGCAAAAAATGATTAAAAAATGTCAATTCTTTTCCTCTCTAAGAAATAAGTAAAAGATCTAACAAAAAAAAAAAAATAACACTTTGACAAGCCCTACAGTCTGATATACTCTTTCAAATAAAGGAAAAAGTAAATATATAGATTGAAGGTCCATAGAGAATTTCAAGTTGTTAATTTAGTTATTTCAACTTTTGTTTAATAAATACATCGTGATATATTGAGTTGAAAATTTCATAACATTCAAATGTTCATATCTCAGAATCGATTTTGAAATAAAGAATTTATATACATTTTTAAACAAAGTAATAATTAGAAAATTTGTGCTTGGTTTTTTTTTCCCTCCTTATTAAAGAAAGAATATTAAGATTGTTATTTTCAGATTTGAAATTGACTAATCTACTAAAAATTCCCAAGAAAAATTTTCAATAAACAACGAAAAGAATTTTTTTCGTGACAATATATATATATATATCATCTTTATAAACATCTGCAACATCAGAAAAATTTACATTTTTACTCTTTCACATATCATGGCTGAATTGTAATTAGTCTGACATGTTGTAGCTGAATGTCAGTGGGTGTTATGATTGATAGATGTATATCCATAGCAGAAGACACATCACAGTCAAAACTAAAAAAAAAAAAAAAACTATAAATATTGACGTCATTTCTTGTACTCTCACTTCGTTTTATGAATTGTTCATAACGATTATTTTTATCAATTTTATATTTCTATGGAACGTTTATTCAGAAATTTAATAAATTTATATTTTATTTATTGTTATAAAAGAAGTACTTAAGTATACAATGAACATCTGCCTATCAGATTGTTTTATTCAAATATAACTTTATAAAACTACATAACAGCTTGAGTGCAATTGTAATATATACAATAATCAAAAAAACCAATATTATAAAGAAATCAATCAATATTATTTTATTTATGCATTAAATTTTAAATAATTCATATTGATTTGTTACTAAATATAGATTACAATTACATATTAGCTCGTAATAATATTTTAATATTGATTTATATTTTATATTATTTTATGCATCTTTGAATTTTCTAATTTTTTTTTGTTTTTCTTGTCAGAGGTTATTACTCGAGCAAAGATGATTAACTTTGTGAATTGCGCATATTTGTAATTAATTACTTTTATGTCATATGAAATTCTTATCATTCACTAAAGATAGCAAATCTCATAAAAGATAATGGACAATTTCCGTAAATTTTCCCTTGATAATTTCGTTTGTTGAAGAACATTAAGAGATAAGAATATTCTTGTTTGAAAAAGAAAATAAGACGAAAGTGTTTTTTTTGTTTTTGTTTGTGTCTTGTTTATTAAATCAAATTGTTCTTTTTTAGTTTTGTTTTTGTTTCACTTATTACAAATATTAACATTTTTAATTCAATATAAACAATATTGATGAAAGAAAATCTTGTTAACAAATATATGTACTAATCATTCTTAATTTTATTAAAAAAAGAAAAAAGAATAAAAGAAAAATACATATACATTGATAAATATTAATCGTTTTATCGTTTCTATCTTATCAAAGATTATTCTATTTTCGTCAATCAGATTCTACTAATCAACATATGTCCTTCGTGTTATCTTTCCTTTTATTTTGAAGAGCTAAATATTAACTATGAGATTATACATATTTCACAAAAGCTTGTTTTTATAAAATTAAGTAAGAAGCCTTAGATAGATGCACGCACTTCTTCAAATATTAATACATTGTATTGTGGTTTGACAAAAAAATTAATGCCCCCATTTGATGACATTCATATAATCAAAAGGTATACATTATAACATATATATATATATATAGGCTTCAGATGGATAGGTGACAAAAAAGTGTTGAAAGAAGATATTTCTCACTAATTGTACTATGGAACAATGAAGAAACGAGAATCGTCCGATAAATAACTTCTTCTCGAGCGAGTAAAACCATTATTTTTGCCTTTTCTTTTCTTCGTCTTTTTTTTTTCAGCTCATCAGAACCGGGTTTTTAATAGTCGGCAGTAAAGCTACAACGATCTTAGTCCTTTTTTTCTTCTTGTTTTATTCTCTCTCTCTCTATTAGAAAGAGAAGAAGAGCGAGAGAGGAAAAAAAAAACTACACACACGTACATTACATATTCTTTCCATAAAGTATGCTACTCTCTTGTGTACTCATTAGACAGTTAAGAGGTGAGGATATTACTTATTAGTGTTTTATTGACGACGACAGCAACAATAAAGTAACTTGTCAACTAATTTTTTATTTTGATAATACTTGAAGAATAATACAACAAAAGCAATAGTATTTAAAACAAAGTGACTGTGTCATAAGCAATCGTTTCATTAATCATCTAGGTATGTTGATGAACACAATTCTATTCATAGCATTCTCTTATGAAAATCATACATTTCAAAAGGCACTAATAAAAGGAAATAATTATCATCAGATTCATAAGAAAACAATAGCAAGAAAATTAAAAAAAAACACAACAAAAAGAAACGATATATCAAAGAAGAATAATTGACAATTTGTTTTTTCGATAAGAATTCTAAAGAAAATCACACATCGATAGATGATTGTAATTTATTAACTGTTCAAATGTTTTCAAAATCTTTTCTTTTTTTTTTTGCACACTTAAAAATCAATAATGAAGAACAGCAAAAAAGAAAAAAATTCAAATTCATATTTCCTTCTTTGCTCTATGACATAAATTATAAGTCAAACATTGTTCATTTAATATTTACTTTCTCTTTCAATCTATATTCTTATTATTCTAACCATATGAATAAGATTTTCTTTCTTTTTTTTTTTTTTTTGTTTTTTGTTATTATGTGACTCGAAGATTAAGTAAGATTTTTCTATCAACATTTCATCAAGACCTTGAATTCATCTATACTTATATTGTTGATGATAAAGATGTGCTATGTAGGACGTTTTCTTGTCGTTCGGAACATTATTAACTGCCTCAAACATGTTAACATATACAGAGAAGAAAAAAAAAACAACAACAATCGAGTCAGATTGCCAACTTAATGATGAAAAACGAGAGGAGAAGAAAATCAGTAAATGAAGTAAAATTTGCTACCGGGAAGAGAAAAACATTAACTATTATTAATGATCTTCTAGCATTCGGCTCAAGAGTCACGCAATTCATATGATTGGATATATAAAATTATTCTATAAGGGAAAACTATAACATGTAAAACAAATTAATTCTTGTTTTACATAATATAGAACACTAAAAGTTATACTATATCATAATCTCATTCTTTTATATTTAATATAAATAGTCCTTGTATTTTAGAGTCTGTTATTTGACAACTTATGCAAATATGAAAAGAAGAAGAAAAAAAAAACGTGATTAGCTCATATGTTATACATTATATATATAAGTAGATTTCAATATCATAACCTCTAGAAAAAAAAAAGAGATCCTTCATGGTTTGTATATACATTGTATTAAATTCTTGTAGTATAAGAATAATTTTTTTCCTTGTATCTTAATTAATTCCGATTGTACTGATATTTTATCATTGGATACAAGAGAACTTTTTTTTTTTTTCTTTTGCATTCGATCAGATTCTTAAAGAATAGTATGATCAAGTTTCCGTCTGTTTTTTTTTTGCCTCGTAATTGCCGGAAACTATAGAAAATCTAATGTTGCTGTTATTATTATAAAGATTTGTTTTGAAGAGTAGATGTTCTTACAATATGAAAAAAAAATGTATAATGAATATTTGTCTGTATAAATTATTCATCTAAATAATAACATCAATAAAAATATCCGCTGTTAAATTCTTAGGGAAATTTTATTTCTATACTGAAAATAAATATTTTGAATGATCCTTTTATGAGTTCATTATCAACCATGCAAACACCGGATTTTCTTTTTTTTTTTGCTGTATCTATAAATAAAGGTTACTTGTTCGATGTCATGCATCGTTTTAAATCAAAGTAGATTATTAGTTAATACAGCTCATAATTAGAATACCGTATATGAAACTTTCATCATCATACAACTAAAGAGAAAATTAAACGTCTTGAAAAGGGCATCGAACATTTGGAGACGTTCCAAACGGGAGGAGTCAGAATGACTTCTTTCACCTTCAATCCTGGAAAATTTTTATTTTTTTCTCAACAAAATTCAACAATTTTCTTCGTTAATTTTATTCACTGATCCTCACAACAAGCTATTGTGAAACTTAACCTCTCATTATTCCTCCCCTAACTAAGGACATATTTTATTAATAAGATATTCTTAGATTTGAAATCTATATTTAAATCTTCTAGTAACTTTTAAGAAGATATAATCTATTTTAATTATATATAAGATAAATACTCATTGAGTTTTACAATTTATTATGTATTCGATAGATAAGATCTGTTGACTTCCACGTGTAAGATAATTTGTTCGAAAAATACTTTTTTTGTTTAGTTTTGTTTTTTTTTTATAGCAAACGGTAATTTTCCACTATTTTTACATATGAAATTTAATTTTGAATACTTCTTTTTTTTCCGTAGGAAAACTTTTTGTATCTTAAAAAAAAAAAAAAAAAACAAATGCAAAAAACATTACCATCATCTGAAACAACTCGTATTGAAGTAAATGTTTCAGAATTTTCTCGTGGTGAAATATCTGTTAAACTTCGACGTGATAATACATTACTTGTACATGCATTGCATCTTGATCAATTTGCAGCAGACAATTTTTTTCGTAAAGAATTAGTTAAAACATTTCCTTTGCCAATAGGTGCTGATGTTGACAAAATACGTTCTGTTATACGAAATACAGGTATATTATCAATTGATATACCTATGTTAAAAGATAATGATGCTATACGACGTTCACATGAAGAATTATTAAAAACAATTGATGATCAAACATTACGATCAACGAAAAATGAATATGATCGTTCAATATCAAATGCTGATGTTATAAAATCTAATCATCAATCAATACGACCATCACCATCAACAATACCAAAACGAACAGGTAGTCTTGGTGATCTTGAATATCGTCAATATTCACAAAATTCTTCTAACTTTAATATAGCTGAATTTTTACACTCAAAATTTCGTCCATCATTTACACCAAATGGAAAAAAATTAATATTAAAAGTTGATACACGTGGATATGATCCAGATGAATTAATTGTACGTTTACTTGATAATAATTTATTAGTACAAGGAAAAAAAAAATTTGCATTAAATACAAAAAAAAATGAAACAAAACACTTTAGTCAAAGTATTCGTTTACCAGATGGTATTGATAAATATAATGTTACATCACAAGTTACGGAAGATGGTGTACTTGTTATTGATATACCTTTACTTAATTCAGTTTTATAATCAATTATCACACTAAGAATGTGTTTAATAGAATATTAATATGTCTTAATAAATAATCCTTCAAAAAAAAACAAAAAAAATTAGGAATTATATTTAGTAACAGATGATAAATATAGTCATGAATGTTTACTTTTTTTTAGGCAAAAAAGAAAAAGTAATCTATATTTTTTGGGCGGATTATTGTACCGGTTTACAAGAGTACTACTTGAATTGATACCTGACGCCTGAGGTTATTATTAGGTCTACAAGGAAGCCTTTGATGAGACTAATAAAAGTCTAAAAGGATTCATCTCCATGGATCTTTGAAGTTGAGTTAGGAGCGTTTCACTGAATTTTTGTACTCAGGTTTAGGTAAACACCGAAAAATCGAACTACAGAATTTTGACATGCAATCTTGCCCATAGATAAATCGAATGAACAGTAGAATCTTTCTCTGTCGAGATATTAAATTTTCAAGTAAACTCGATTTTGGTACCATGCTTGTGGTAAACGAGTAGGTTTTTTTGGAAATTGAATATTTCGGCCTATCGATGCGCAAAATTTTACATTGAAAATGATTCTTTTTTTCAGGATATACCTTAAACTAGCTCGATCATTCAGTAAAACGATCATCACTTGGTTGTAAAGGTCCATATAGATGAATCTTTTTAGACTTTTCCTAGTCTCACCAAGGCGTCCTTATAGGTTCAAACAACGAGTATCAGTTTCGGTGGTTGCCTTGTTAATACGAAATAAATACAAAGCTTCACCTCACTAGATTTTACTATGAATCCAAGTTTTATCAATCAATGATTAGAACTCATCAAACCATAAGGTCATAATCATCTGAAAAAAAAAATCTATTTTCTTCGTAACAGATATGAGACTCATTCAAATTATTGTAGCAGAAAAACAGCTATAATATTAGATTATCTATGCTATGTTATTTTTCATGATGATCGAGTTCATAAACAAAGGATGCATATGACCTTGAATGTTATTGAACCTGAAAAATTCTGATGCAAAACTGATCGATGTTTGGTCTATAGAAAACATTTATAGTTCATTAAAACAAAAAATGATGACGACGGAAATATAATAATATCATACATCTATATATCAACAAATGATAAATAAAATATTAGTAATAAATTATAATTGTAATGAAATATATAGATTAATCTATAGTCAAAAAGAAAACCGTTCGAAGTAATTCGTCACTTTTGAGCTCATACTGTGATTTAAATGAAATAGAAAAGTTTTATTGAAATTTTCCTGTATAACTAGATTTTAGAACTATTTCACGAAGCATAACCGAGATATAAGTTTTTCAAAATATAAGCATTTTTTTTATAGGTATTGTATAAAACGTAAATATTTTAAAAAATTCATATCTCGATTATGCCACCAGAAATAGTTCTGAAATCTAGTTATACAGGGAGATTTCAATAAAACTTCTCTATCTAATTCAAATCACAGCATGAATTTCAAAAACAACGAATCACTTTGAAAGAATTCTCCTCGTTAACATCTTTGAAATAGCTGATAGATCCTCCATTCGAAAAGTAATTCTAAACTATTGAAAAATAAATCAATCATTTCTATTCTAAAAATGAAAATTGAAACTATTAAATTTCAAAAATATATGAATCAAATGAATTATTTTTAACCTATTTATCATGATGAGTCAATATCATAAAGTTTAATAAACTAATAACAAACGATATTTACTTTCAATAAAATATATTTCTACAAGAAACAAATCAAATATCTTATCTGAGTCCAATTCCTTCGATAATAATCATTCGTTATATTGAATGAAGCAGAAAGTGAAGTATTATTTTTTTTTTTTTCTTTGCTATAAAATAGATAATCAAATGTATTTGTGTCGCCTCATTGACCAGATCATTCATATTGATTGTTCGAAGATAAACATTAGTTTTCTTTTTTCTTTAATTCTCATCTCTCTTCGCCTAACATACAATTAGCAATCGATAATTCTTTATATATTTCGATATCTGTTTATCGACATTATTTTTATCTATCAATTAGATATCCAATCAAATAGATTTCCGAGAAGAAAAAAAATACAAAGAAATTCTTTCTCTACAAACATAAATTCTTTTAAAAATTACGATATAACATGGATGACAATACTGATACATGGCCTTTTATACAATCATCAACAACAATAACAAATTCATCAATAAGATCTTCTTCAATACCATCAGCATCAGCATCATCATCATCAGTACCACCACCAACGGTACGTGAACGAAATCGAATGCATGCATTAAATGAAGCATTTGATGAATTACGTCGTGTTGTACCAAAAGCTAATTTACATGATCATCAACGTTTATCAAAAATAGCTACACTTCGTCTTGCTATTCATTATATAAGTTGTCTTACACAAATTCTTGATGGAAATGGAACAAAAAAACATTTTCCACATCAACTTTTATCACCAACAAGATCATCATCACCACCACCATTGTCATATATGCAACAAGATTCATTCATTATGGCAAGACGACGAGGACAACGTTTACGTCGACGAACACGACAAACGACACATGATGAACAAATATTTGATGAAGTTGAATAAACTAGAAAAAAGTTCATATTTAATTAAATGTAAAAAAAAAAAAAAAATAATCATTTTGACAAGATATTATTTATATGATAATCTTTTATAAGGTTTTTTGTTTCAATGTAAAATTCTTTCATAAAAATAAAAGATAATAATCAACACATGTTCTTTCTTTTTTTTTTTTCTCTATTTAAAAAAAAAAGAGAAAAGAAAAAGTGAGTCTTTATATAATATAATAAATTATTTCTAACGATGGCATAATATGTTCTTTGAGGTCATATGAAAAATATTTTTAGTTTTTCTTTTTTTCTGTTATTAATATAATTTAAATACGACACATATCTTAAATGACAAACGATAAACTTATTATTTGCATACCATAGATAATATTTTTCTTCTTCTAACTGGAAAAAAAAATTTTTTTTTTTACATAATTAAGTTACAAAATCATCTGTGAATATATTCTAATATATAGATAAAAACAAATCCTATGAACGTGCATTTCTATTACTAATACAAAAATATTTTCATCTTAGGCGAAAGAAAAAATGTACGGAAAGAACAAGTCTATATGACCTTTTAGTGCAAAACATTAGGATAAAAAGCTTCGAATTGAACGTCAGATGTAGAACTAACACAAAATACCAGCTATGAACATAGATGGCGCTTTATAAAATTATTATAATATAAGTTAGATTCATACACAAGTAGTCAAGGTAGGTGATTACTCTCTCAATTTTGAGAAGTTTTCGTTTTTTTTTTAACTTATCAATTCTCAAAAAAAAAAAAAACACTTGACTTCTGCTTAATCTTGGCAAACTCAGGACATCTCTAGATTCATATGTGTCTGCTTTTCCCTTTCTCTCATTATCGGTTACTTGAATGTGATTCGTGCATTCATTTCACTAAAACAGATGAGCGATGCTTTCTGTAATTGTATTGAAGTCTTTCAATGTATTTAGCTCTTAACTTTTTCTTATTCATTCGCAAACGAATAGTCACATTTTGTCTATTCAATATTCTATAGTTAATTTCACTTACCAAGTAGTCTGTTAAAACGAGCTACTACTACTCCTCATTAACTTGACATCAATGTACGAATAAATTTTATTCTTTTCAACAAGATAACCATGATTGATTTTGAATATTATACAAAAACATATGATGATGATAATAATAGTAAAGTATTATTATAAGAACAAAGTATATGATTTGTTACTTAAATACAATAGTTATACACCATTTTAAGATAGACAAGTGTCAAATTTAGATACGTTTTATTTTTTCTTTTTTTCTTTTTCATTGATGCTAATCATAACCTTGTTCGATAGAACACTTCAAATATATGTAACAGCCGCCAGTAGTCGTCGAACTGGTTACAACTTGATAGTCATAGATGAGAGAAAAGAAAAAAAAATTTTTTTTTATTATACTACGTGAGTATTTAATACGTCATCACGAAGACTAATTTTTTTTTTCTTCATCTGTTCATGTCCTTATTCTCTGCATCGAGACAGGAAAAAACAAAGACTGCCGCTTATAATAACATCATGAAATAGAATAAACAACGGCTCACTTTGTTCTGTTTCTTTCTCACATCTTGATTCATCAAATTATGTTTAAAGTTCATATTTTCTTTCTTGATTCAAATTAATTTTATTGTAAAATTTTAGATTATTAATTGAATTTATCGATATGTTCGAAGAACCATCAAAATCCCTCGATGAACCAACAACATCAACTGATGATAGTAAAAAAGATTATGGAACAAATAAATGTATGCAAATTCTTTGCACTCGTTCACTCCTATGCAGTGCTATTTATTTTGCACTCGCTTACTTCATTCAAGGAATAACCGATATTGCATCTGGATTTGTTAATTTACCATTACAAACTATATTAAAAGATAGACTTCATCTATCACCATCTCAAATGGGTACTTTTTTCTTTACCTGTACAGTAACGTAAGTATATGATTTATAAAAGAACAAAAAAAAAAAAGAATACTATGTTCTCTTTGATTTATACTTTTTAAGTTGGTCTATCAAACCACTCTATGGAATTCTTAGTGATTTTGTACCGATATGTGGTTATCATCGACTTATATATCTTTTAGTAACTACAGCAATTAATTTATGTGCATGGATTGCTCTTTATTTTGCTCCAACAGAATACAATTATTTATTAATTTTCTGTGTTTTAGCAGCATTTTCACTTGCATTTAATGATGTTCTAAGTAAGAAAAATTTTTTTATTTTATTTATAATTATCATTTGTCTATGACATAAATGATTATAAGATAGTAGATATAATTTGATGAAGAAAAACATGAATCAAATTAATTGAGTAACACTAATTTAATTATTATATATATATATGTAAGAATTATTTCTATAAAAAAAAAAACACGTTTTATTTCTTGTATTTTATCTTAGTAGCTAAATTTACATTAATAATGATGAATGTATTTTGATACATATACTATCTGCGGTCAATGAGGACAATATATTATCAAATATACTCAATATATTCTTATTCTTTGTCTTGTTTTTTTTTCTGTGGCATATGGTTGATTATGTGATAGAATGAGTATTATTAAAACATGTATACAGTATATTAAAATTAAAATAGATAATTAATATAGAAATCTCGATGGAAATTATAAAGATTAGAAATTCGAACGATATGCATCATAAAATTTCTGTCTTTCATGATGACGAAGCAAAAAAAAAAACCAATAATTTCATTTTCTTAGGATTAATTGTTTTTTTTTTGTTTGCGTATTCTCTACTGAAGTATTTTACATTGAATCCATCATTTTCGATCAAAAAAGTGTGCACGTAGTTTGTAATTTATTCATAGTATATTAATAGAATACTTACAATTTCAGATGAAGCTTCAGAAAGACATATGAGTACAATATAATGCAATGCACTCATGCATATGACATTGAGCATATCAAATCAATGATAAATCAATATTTATCTCTAATATTTTGCTATGTCATTTGTGTCAATAGTAACAGACAAACTTTTCTTTTTTTTTTTTTCATAGAATGTTTCTTAGATTGTACGAAAAGTTTATTTCTTTCATGTTTATATTTACTCGTGGATAGATCTAAATTTAATTATATATTTTGAAATTAATCAATTATATATAACTTTAAATAATATAATTTTTTTTAAAAATGGAATTGATATTTCTCAAAATTTATATGATATTCACTATATCTATATTTGTCTCCGACGTCAAACAGTTCTTGTTTTACTTTCATATCAATCTACTGAATGATACATATATATATATGCATATATTCATTCTTGAATATTAAATAAGTTTGAGATACAATCATCTTTTCAAAGAAATAACAAACTATCTAAATTTTAATCCAAAATATTGAGTTGTTCAAGAATTATCCTTATATTAAAGGTCAAAAAGTAGGTCATTGCGTGTTCTTCATTTCTTTCCAAAAAGCTAATGATATAGATCTCTGATTGATGTCAAAATGTAGTCAACACTTGCCACTATATCTTCAGATAAAGTTTACAATTGAAAAACAATGTTCCTATTTAATAAAACACTAGAGAAAACATATCAATCATAATCTACCATATATTATCAATTACGATGAATCACTCGGAAACTTGTACAGTATTGAAAAATTTGAGTCTAGAATAGAAAAATATGTTAGATATACGTGAGAATATTTATGTCACCGATTCACACCCACATCAACAATACCAGTTGTTGAAAAAAAAACAAAAGATAAGAAGACAGGAATGAATATAGATGTGAGATAATAAAGCTGAAGAAAGAGACGAGAACACATTCTTATATCAAAAGACGTCTCTTTTGGCATAATAATATAGTCAAAATAATGATATAATTAAATGAATACTGGTAGAAAAAGAAATACAGGGTATGAGTTCTTTTGTTCAAAGATTTACAGCGCTTCCTAATTATGTCACACATTTTTGCTAGATTCTCTACTATGAGAAACCTTGAAAAAAGTTCAAAAGATACCAAGACCTAACATTTTCATTAAAAAAAAAACATTTCTCCTTATTCCAGCATCATTAGTAATTCCTGATATTGCGGATTACTCAATCATATACAAAAAACCTCAAAACCGAATTTTTTGACGAAAATTGCAATGTTTGCCAGGAGGAGCTTAATTCTTACATATATATATATGCATATGATAAATAACAAAGAAATATTTCGGAAATAAGTACTTAGAAATGTTGTTAAGCGCACTCTTTCTAAATAATGAATACATAATTGATATATATTGTAGTAGTATTTCTTTTAACTATATTCTCATAGAACGTTTCCGAAAACATCATTAAAAGAACACTTATCATAAATTAAGAATACTTTTGATCATAGTCAATTCTTTAATAGCATGCATCTAAATCTCTCATTAGTCAAAAAAAAAAACTTTTCTTTTATATTTCAAAACGAACAGAACATTGATATATAAAAAAATTGCTTTCAAAAGTTATCTTTCATTTGAAATCTTTTTAATAATATATAATTTAATTAAGACAACGAGATTTTAATAATTGTTCAAACAATTGATGAATAGAAAGAAGTTTCTTAAAAATTTTAAAAAAAATATAGAAACATTTCTTGACAACTTTCAAAATCATGTTAAAGGACGTCTTCAAGTAAAAACAGACCTCTCTTTTGTTAGAATTTCTCTCCAAAATGGCCTTTGAGGACAAGCAAAAACATCTTGTATTTAGTTGATGCACTAATGATTTCAATTGGTCGACCATTGGCATTGATCGGTACATTACAAGGTATTCAACAAACATCGGCTAAACTTGCGGCAACTATTTCACAAATTCCAGCTGGTATTCTTGCATCAAATTCTGTATCATTTCAGTATAATCAAACATTAAATAATAATAATAATACATTGAAAAATATTAAGCAAAATTCAGATTTAAATAAATATATTTTTTTAATTGCTGCAGCTTGCCCAATTATATTATTTTTTGCAACGTTGATTACAGTACGTGAACGTCGTCGAAAATTAAATAAAAATAATTTTACTCAAACATGGTCAATTTTATCAGGAATATTTCAATATAAACGATTTTGGATTATAGCTATTTTTCTTTTTATTTATTCAGCATCACCACAAATCAAAACAGCATTATTTTATTATCAACGTGATAAACTTCATTTTAATCCATTTTATGTTTCAATATTAAATACACTTTACAATGGTTGTGGTATATTATCTGCATTACTTTATTTATCAATATTTTCTCATTATCCAACAAAACGTGTATTACGTATAGCAATTGTTATGCGTATATTTGCTGTTGCATCCTATTTATTTGCAATAGACAAAATGACATCAATATGTGTTGCTATTATTACAGGTTTTTGTTCGGAAATAACAAATTTAGCAATACTTCATTTAGCAGCAAAATCTTGTCCAAAAAATATTGAAGGTACATTATTTGCATTATTTGTATCGTGTGTTAATTTTGGAGCAGCAACTGGTGATTGGCTTGGTTCAATTATATATCAATATTTAGGTTTTATTGCACTTATTATAATAGCAATTATTTGGATTGGTACAACTATATTAGTAACATGTCATATCAATGAACATGGTATTAACTCAACACCAGATGATGATGATGAAATTGATGATAAATATCATTATTATAATGTTATAGAAAAACAAATACAAACAATTGAAAATGAAGATTCTGATGACAAAGAAACAAATTGTTCGTCTGGCTAATTAACAAAAAAAAAAGACAAAAAATAACACTAATCATCTGAATTTCTTTTCTTATCTCGTTGATGTTATTGCTTTACATAGTGTTCATGTAATCATTTATGTTATCGTTCTCATTTTTGATATTAATTGTTACTAGAATATTTATAATGAAAAAAAAACAAAAAAACAAATAAATATATTCATAAAAAAATATATATTTCCGACTAGGAAACTATTGTTATCATTGTTAAAAATGAATAACAATAATAACAAGAGCAAAAGAAAATGAGTAAAGAAAAAATATGTTTTCAATAAAAGAGTTTACATTTATAGATCATCAAAGATAAAGGACTACGTCCGGTAAAAAAATGAGCATATTATAATCTTCTACAAATAAGAAAATAACTGAGTTCATTTATATATATTTTTTTTATCTTCTTTCCGCCTTCATCATCACCATCATCATCATTATTATTATCTCTTTTTTTTTTGTCAGCCTTATTATTCGACGGGATTTTTCTACCGATGATCTTATCTACTAATGAAGGCAACTAGTGAAAGGAGAAAACGGCGAAGAAGAATGAACAAAGACAAAACATAATGTTATCATTTTTTTTTTTTCTTTTGTATTAGATAAAGCGAGAAAAAAGCAAAGAGAATGTCAGCAATAGTAGTAAATATCATCCTTTGTTTAAATACATCGGCTTTAATTTATTTATTCAAAAAAAAGAAAAAGAAAAATATATTCGATCATGTCATTGTATTCTTTATATCTTTATAATAGTCTTATTATTATATAGATCTTGAAATTTTTTCTTTTAATATAATCATTCTTATTTGTCAATAAGTAAGAGTCAAAAAAGAAGAAAAAGAAGCATTACTTATCTATTCTACTTACTGAAACATCAAACTATCATCGACAAATGAACACGCAAATCCTAATACTCATCAATGTCTCTTATGTTCAACTTTCATTACTTTTTTTCTTTTAACAGACACACATCTTCAAATTGAGAAGAAGGAAAAAACCCTTCACAACTTTTATGTAATTATTTTAAGATATCATCGACAACAACCTGGTGAAAATGGCAAAGGACAATGCACAACTAGATCAATCTTCTATTTTCAAACGATTTCGACGGTCACAACAGCAATCAACATCGTTTCCAATAACTGATCAACATCGTAGAGATCGTGATTCTGTTATAAATCAAACACTAAACAATGACAAACGAAGTAAGCGAATATTAGAAAGATTTATAGCATAGAAAACAGAAGACCAATTAAGCATTCTTCATATATTCTATGTTATTTTGTCTATAAAACTAAACCTATTGTTAGGTTATCTATACGAGTAGAATATTAAACATATTTATTTTATAATGGCACTTATAACTTAAATACAAAGTGACCTTTTAATATATTCTATGTTTATGTTTATCAATATGATGTAATCCAAAAGGACAATATATATATATATGTATATATATACTATATGCCTTTGTTATTATTATTTTTACACTTTATAGATGAGAAGAAATAAGCTATATCTCTATAGATTCCATATGGTTTCTTTTCAAGTGTACAAATTCTACAAAAAACAAATATTTCTGATTTTATTCTGAAGCAGTTGTTTTTGCTATGATGACAGACGCCAACTATCGTTTATCGATTTACTAAATGAGAAAAATGATATTATATGTATATATATGATATTCATATGACCGCCTGTTGTTGAAACAAGATGAATGCTGTATTGCTTAGCGAATCCATCATATACTATCATCAACTGTCGCCCATCATATTTCTTACAACGAAGAAAAGTCGACACTGACATATAGACAAATATACAATTTTTAGAATGAATGAGACACCTCAGTATGTTATATGTCGAATACTGTAAAAACAAAGCACATATAATCATAAAACAATCGGTGTCATTAGGGAAACGCAAACATATAAGAAAGAAAAGAAGCAGATTGTTATGTTCTCAACACACACATATGGTCATCGCTTGTATTATAATCTTGTTCGTCAGAATACGAGTCATATTTTCATTTCTATAGGAAAAAAATCTCTTGTGTATATAAAAATAGCTTAACAACTTTTATTGTCCATCATTTTGTTTTTAGAATCAATTCATAAATCTGTCATTGATTATACATATGATAATACTAATAATAATCTACAACTTACAACTGATTGGTCATCCATGAATATAACTACAGGTATGATAATTTATAGGCTTTTGTTATTCGATTTTTTTTTACTTTAATACAACCTATGATATTTATGATTATAGTCATGTCAAGTTATTTTTATTTAAATAGCCGTACTAATTCGATTGAATGATTAGAGAAATAAACGGATGTTTTCTTTCTGTCAATTTTTTCTTGTGTTTTTTTTTCATTTGTGCGTTGATGCATCTGTATTCTTGTCGTTATCGTTAATCTGTTTCACGAACAAAATCGACTATCGTCATCTTTTTTTTTGTATAACCAAAAGTTGAAGGAAAAGAAGACAATTGTATTGTGTCATTGGACTTGTTGATTACTCATTTCACATCACTCGGCACTGCCGTTTAGGCATTTCTCTAGGGAATCAAAAAAGAAGAAGAGAGAAGTAATAATAAGAAAGTCGAATGAATGACATTTTTTTTTTTTGAAACAAAGACATGTTGTTCAGGTTTAATTATTATTATTATCAATGTAAGCTTCTTTTCTTTTCATAATAGAAAAAAGAAATATATCGATCATTTTTGAGACATTTTTTTACTTTGATTATTATTGCTTTTTTTTTTGTTATAGAATAGAGCAACAAAAGATTCATAAAAATGAATAGTTTGTATTTAAAAAATTATTATTTAATTCTATAGTAGATATAGTAATAAATAAGTGTAATAGAGATATATAAATTATTTAATGCAGTATATTTGATGAGATAATCCGTATTGAGAAGGTTTTTTAGTAACATGATCGTTTGATATCGTTATCAATAATAAACAGAGATTCTCAAAAAAGAAAAGAAAAAAAAACAGTTGCTCTTGTTGGTATTTTGGTGCTCTTTTCTTTATAATGATAATCTTCTAATGAGTGCTTGAGGCCATTTTTTAACGTTCATCGTTGTGAAGAATTAAGCGTATGTTTAGTAATGGTGTAAGTGGTTCATTTACTTCATTCTAACGATAGATCAAGAGTGAGCGAGCAACAAGCGGAGATGAGACTCAATCGACATTGATTAGCTGCGGAAGTGGAAAATCAGATAGCTCGTATATATGTGTTTCTAGTGATGACACATACAAACATACATATACAAAAGCGAGCGAACAAATAAAGAAATCCGATAAAAACTTTTCTTTATTAAGTCTTTTTATGTCATACATAGACCTGTTGTCTTTTCTTTTATAGTACTCAAAAGACAGTAAGCAAGTGTATATATATATATATAAATATGTATACATATATTCGTAATTCTTCTACATAAATAAATACAAGTATTAGATAGATAAAATGTTTGTAAGTCAACAAAAAAAAAGACAAAATTATATTTCATTGTAGGTATATTTAGTTTAATAGAATTCAAGGTTATTGATAATTATTATACACCAAATAAAAGAAAAAACATCTGTTATATTTTCTCATAGAAACCTACATATGTTTAAAACACTATTCTATTTAACAGTAGACCTATCTATTATATTTTCAATTCTTTTTCTTTTTCTTTTTCTTTCATTTAGTCTACATATTTCTAATTTGATTATATTTGCTTGAAGAATTTCATAAGTATCAAATGAGATAGACATTCTATAGGAAAAGAAAGAAGAAATTTTCCTTTATCTTTGATAATTTGTCATTTTAGAACAAGAAATGAAAAGCTTATATGCTTGGATAAATTTTAAATTTCTATTGATAAATTTTATGATATTTTACATAATAATATATTGTATCTATTTTAGCCACTATGGATAATAAACATTATTTTGGTCTTTATTTGATTCGTATTAAACATGGTTTAGTTCTTTTTTCTTTATTTCTTACTGCTTTTCAAAGTCTTATTTATCTATTATTAGCTATATTTTCTGTAAAAGTAAATAAAATTATTCTTATTATTATTATTTAAATTTTTTTTTTCTTTTTTTTCATAGCCTCATTTTTATCAATTTATTCTTGAAATTCTTGTTTTTATTATAATATTATGTCTATCATTAATATTTATATTATTATTTCATCGTGAAAAATTTTTTCATAAACATGTACATATATCATGTTTATTAATATGGATATTGTTAACATTATTTTCCATAATACCAATTATTTTACAACAATATACATCAATTATACGTTTAATGGGTATTGTTACATTTTCAATAATAGCTATACATACAATATTGCCTGTAACACGAGCATGGACAGTTTTAATGGCTTTAACAACATCTTTTATTCATTTAATGCTTGTTATTCGTACACATAATATTCAAGATCCAAATAATCGTTCTCAACGAACAGAATTTAAACTTGAGGTAAATTTGATTTTTTTTTCTTCTATTATTTGATGTTCAAGTTTTAGTAGTATAAAAAAAAAAAAGAAAAGTAAAATAATAAAAATGAAGAAGAGAAAAATTGTCTCTTTTATAGATATTTCAAATTTTTTCATTTCTTCTAAAGGTAGGTATAAATGATACTTTATGAACTTTGAACTTCGATAAAAATGAATTTAGATACAAACAAAGAGATAGTTTTAGTATAGAACTTGATCTTCGAAGCATGTTGCATGTTGTTATTGATAAATATGAAAAGTGTTATTGTCAAGAGTCATAATTAATCATCAAAGTTCTTCAGAATTTAGGATAGAAGTGTTATCATGAATTTGGAATGTTGTTTGGCTTCTTAAGATTAGATGTTTTTTTTTTTTTTTGTCAGAAATAAAATAAGAAATTGATATTCATGTTTTCGAATGGACACAGTTTATTATCTATTGTTCTATCCGAAAACCTGTATTTATTTGATTAATCTGTTAAACAT